GCATGTGCAGGGGGGTGGGCGGGCCCAGCACGCATTGCCTTCTGGGTTGTGGTACGCGAGCATGAGTGCACGCACAATTATTGGCATGGGAGCAGAAAAAGGTTTGCCACCACTGGCCCATACCAGGGGTCCCCAACCTGTGGCTGTAGCCCACTACCGGGCCGCAGCCTATACACAACCAGGCCATGTGAATGGCTGGCTGACACAGCTCCACTTGCATGAGTGATGTGGGGGCTCATGGCCCCACTCACATGAGTGTCACAGGGGCTTGAGACCCCCTCGAACAAATATTGTGGGGGCTCAGGGGTAGTTATGCAAGCTTTGTGGGCGCTCGGGGCCCACTCATGTATTGCCGGGGCTCATGGCCTCACTTGATGAGCGTCATGGGTGCTCAGGGCCTCACGCAAGTGTGACGGGCAAAGTCCCACAAATGTTGTGGGCACTTGGGGCTTCACTTGTGCACTGCGAAAGCTTGTGGCCCTACTCGCATGAGCAATGGGTGTTCATGCATGTGTACACACACGCACCTGCCCCTCCCACAAAACCATCGCCTCTTCCCCCCCTCCGGCCACCAACCCAGAAAGGTTGGGGAAATCTGGCCTATACTCTAGCTAAATCATTTTTTTTAAAAGCCTATCTGGGTGGCAGTACGTTGGTGACTTTGGTCAACCTCAGCAAGCTAAGCAGGATCAGACATGATTACTACTTGGATGGAAGACAGAAAACCAGTGCTGTGGGCCAGCTTAGGAAGCTAGAAAATCCCTTCAGAATAAACATTCTTTCTAACCATTCTAATTGAGGTAACTGAAATCTTCATGGGCTTGCTCAGACTTGGAATAGAAATAGATAAAGATGGATTTGGGATCAGAGGAAGATGATTTTTCCAAGTTTGTCTCAAAGGCATTAGAAATGGAATCTAACCTGGCAACATCTGCATTCTTTATCCTGTTGAATATACTTTTAGTGACTTTTTCTTTTTCTTTAAAACACCGTCTGCCCTAGATTTAAGCCTCTCTTAACAAGGCGATGAGGAGTTGCTGCTACTGACAGTTCCCCTGAAGCACTCACAATTTATTTAAGAGATTGTTTCCTTGTGGCTGTGATGTTTACTTATAGCCTCAATAGCTGGATTTTCATTTAGTATTTATCATTTGTTTAGACTGTGCAATCTCAACACAAAAAGAAAGCATTAAAATCTAACTACCGCTGCAAGGGAAAATTTCATGGTATAGAGCGTGTGTTTAGTTAAACAGGTCTGCAGCTGGGTCAGTGAGCAGAATTTTAAAATCCTCCTCTTACCAATGACCAAAAGCATCTTTCAAAATATTATTTTGAGACAACAGTGTTGAACTCAATAGAGAAATACTGCCACCTTGTGGCCACTTTAATCAAAGACAAGCTCATGAAAAAAACTTGGCTTAATTTCTTTTAGAATTTAGAATATTCATTTACTGTATATTCAGAAGCTTAAGCTAAATGGGCCACTAGTAATAACTTACTATATGAAATTAGTTAATTACACTTAAGCACATCAACAAAGCCAGTGTTCAAAATGCTAACAGAAGCATATAGCAATATCTGGAATGTATGGCATTAATGTGCTACACTTAACATAAGACATATGTAAGCCATGAAGTCATGCTATGATTTGTTGAATGCTATCTTATGTCTTGAAATGAGGACTTTTCGTGATAATTTTTATTTTGAAAAACCCAACATTTCTGATCAGTTACAAATTATTCATTTTCTCAAATGGAGATACTGATGTGCAAGGCAAGCAACGTTTTCAGTAGCCAGTAGGCCTTGAAAAAGATTTGTAACCATACAAGTTACAGTTAAGCATTTAGAAAAACACTACAGCAGATGGTTCTCCTTCTAAAACTACTGCTGAATTCACAATTCCCATTAATGGCAGCCATTATAGACTACAGTTGGAGAAGGAATTGCAATCCACATCACTGAAAATTTATGGTCATACATATAACTCTGCACTGAAACACAATACATTTCCACTCACCAGCATAAAGGTTTTTGCTATTTTGTTTTGACTCAAAATAGACTCAAATGCACTTTATTATAAGCAAGCAAGAAATGCCCCAGTTTCTCCAGGACTTCCCTCTTGTGTTCAAAACAGGAAGAGGAAATTCATGAACATATGCGCATTAAAGAAATCAAGTTGAGCAGCTATGCAAATGAGAAACTAATTGCTAAAGTTGTCTTGTACCCATTCAGCCACATTTTTGAAAACTTTGTTCCATCTGTTATTGACAGCCAAACTGTAAGAAACACTTTGACAATTCTTGTATTTATAAGTCACTGATTGACAAAACATTTATGGAAAAGTTGTATGAAAAAATAAAGTGTAACATTATACATATTTAAAAACAGCTTGCTGACTGGGGACATTACATAAAACAATGATCCAGAAGACTTACTTGAAGTCTAGGTTTACTCATGTTGTTACTTCTGAGATAAATTTTGCCCATGAATGTTACAAAAAGTTTTCGATGAGTTGTATTTGGGTCTTACATTAGTGCATTTATTACACAATGTTTTAAAATATTTTTCTGAGGCATTAGCAACAATATGTAATATTTTAGTGTGGTGCTGTTACTAGCACTTTTAATTTACCAGATTATGTCACAGCATTAGTTCACTTAAAGCAGAAACGCTGCATTTTAATTTAAGTGGTACTTTTCCATTGTAGTTCACTTGTATGTTTGTATCGGGTACTTGGTTCAACATATATTACAATAATCTGACATTTCAATGAAACAGAAAACCAACTTCCAATCCCTTATTTAAAAAATATAGGAGGTAAATATTTTGATATAGTATCCCAACAATACTTAGGCTGTTTGGCCAGCATCATTTATAATTTTTTCTTTTTTTAAGAATATAGTGTGTATTTTAAGAATGTACCAAACAGAATCCGAATAGAAGTTGTATTATATTGAATGTTATAACTTTAGGGTATATATTGCAGCCTAAATAAGAGTTAAATGGATAAACTTAAAAGATATAAAGGCGTCATACTCCAATCAGTAACTACAGGAGAAACTTTGTTTCATGAGAAAAGATAATAGATAATTGAAACAGGACAGACAAAAAATATAAATATAATGATTTGAATTGAGACGAGATAATTAAAATAAAATTGAGAAAATTAAAAGAGGGGAGAAGCTATGCAGAAAATGTAAAACAGTAATAAGATATGGAATAGAACATAAAAATGAGCATGAAATTGAATTTGTGTCTGTATGAAGAAAAGTAACCCGGGATTACGCTACTTTCACAAAAAGATGTTTTATTTGTATTTTTTTTTGTGAAAACTCAAATAAAATTTACAAAAAAAAAAAAAAAAGATATTATTCAATTTCTATGTATTCCAAGGGAATAGATTGTTTGTGCACACATACACACACATATATAAAACTTGTCTATGAGTTACCTCTTCTCCACGTATATGAACTAGTGACCTATAGTTTATGAAAGCTTATGCCTTTTAATGAAATTTGTTATTTTAAAAAAGTGCATCCAGCTCCTAATTTTTCCTGGCAGAATATAAAACACTGAATAAAAACAGTAGCATACTACACAAATAAGTATAATATATACAAAAGGGATGGGTAGTAAGGAAGCTAAAAACCAAGTAATTAAAAATAAAAGGGTATCTAAGGTATGTATTAAATTTTATTAATGTCTATCCGCAATGAATTCCAAAATTAGGACTCAATTTTGAATTTAAAAAGAGGAAAAAAAGAAGCTAATATGTTGTTAATGATGGAAAATAAAAATTAGTTTAAATAGACAAAAAGTACAGATATTTTAAATAGAAACAGTTTTTAAATAAAAGATGAGCCTGCAATCCTGTATTTCATTATCTGAAAGTGTATTCAGGTTGACTTAACTACATAAAACTACCTGAAGTTGAAATAAGCCCATATATAGTAATTAGTTCCTTCCTTTATTTTATCAGAGAATACTTTATAACAATCTGAAACAGCAACTGACAAAGATAGGATATGCTATCTCATAGTTTATTAACAAAATGGATTATGATTCCTTAAAGGTTAATGCTTATTACAATAAATTACTATTCATACCCATGTGCTCTGGAAAATTGGGAGGTTTTGTCAAAATAGTATTGTAAATATGCAGTAAATTGATACATTGCAATATGTAATACTTTTGTATATAAAAATACCTAAAGAGGCCAGCATTCTTTTTAGCTTACTAGAAGATAGTTAAGAAATAAGTTCCAATGACTGACGTTTACTTTTGGATAAGTAAATGAAATATATCACATAGGGAGTTACTACTTCATCAAAAATGACATCTCTACAATTAGACCAAGTTTAAATAAAGAATCACCTATACTGTTCTTTTTCATAAAAAAGCATGAGAATAGAAAATTATATGGTACAAATCAGTATTAATAAAGGTTTGTATTCTGAATAGAATACAATAAGCAATTATTTGAAATAATGCATAATCAGGACCTGTGTGGGATGAAAGTTTAGAAAATGTAACTTTTTGCTTCCAAGTATGTAAGTATTCTCTTCTATAAAAATGTAGAAGTGTTACTCTCATACTCACATTACGGCACCAAATAATACTTTATTTCACTCCCAAAGGCTGGGAAATGTTTGGTTCAAATAAGCTTTGTCCTCATTCGTGTCTTTTCACAGGCAGTGTTCTGACAGATGCCCTCAAAATCTGAGATCAACTCAAAATCTGAGGGTTTTTCCATGATTGCTTCATTGCTGTATCACTTATATTTGTTTAGAAGGCAAGGACCATACTCTGATTATTCTTGTAAAACTGTAATGAAAAATTATGCTCTCATGGAGCTACAGGTTTACTGTCATGTTTTCACTTTGGGCAATTAACTGTTGCCACCAGTACTAGTTATATCAGTATTATTTTTTTCACACATCAGAGCCACATATTCATCTTTTGGTTAACTTTGGTCATGACTCTACATTTTTACTCTCATGTCACACGGGTATTATCAAGACCACTTTCACTAAAATGATCTTGTCGACACCAATGAATCTTGATCAGAGACTTCTGTACACAAAGGTAGTAACTTTTACAATTAGCACTAATAGCATGTTTATGCACCAAAGTAGCACATTACTACATCGATTGTTGTGCGCAACAATAAAATGTTACAGCTTTGCTCAGATCAGCCAATCTGAAGCTGGGTAAAAATCACATTCTTGAGAATTGTAATATCTATGCTGAGTATGTCAGCAAAATAAACTGAAAACATTGCAAAATGCAAGCATATAAATATCTCAAATCACTTTTAAAAGAAGGTGAATTTCCTTTAAGGCTAACAGTGTTTCCAGGTAAAAATGAAACATGTCTACTAACATTTGTAGCAGAATCACAGTTAAAACTTATCATCACAAGTGCAAAAAAATGCAACAGGGAATGATAGGATTAAGCAGTGCAAATAACATAGTGACATGAAACGTAAGTCAAAGATACTCAAGATTTCATCAGGGCAAAGATGTCTTGAGGTTGATGTCTCATTAAGCTTCTCCAGAAGAGATCTGCATTGAGCTTTTAGATACATCAAACTAATTTATCATTATGTTAACAGTAGTTGAGAATGGATTAACTTCTCCGGGAGGGGAAAGCAAGAATGAAGTTTTAATTAATACCAAATCTACAAAGATATGATTTTCTTGCTTTAACGATAAAGAGCACTGACCAATTATGCATGTCATAGAGGCAGTCCTTGACTTAAGACCACAACTGGGACCAGAACTTCAGATACTAAGTGACAGCAGTTATTAAGTATATTACACATGATCAGATTTTGCAGCCATTTTTACTGCTGTTAAGTGAATCATGTGGACATTAAAATGAAACCAGCTTTCTCAATTGACTTTGCCTGTCAGGAGCCAGCTGGGAAGGTTACAAATTGTAGCCACATAACCACAAGACATTGCAGTGAAATATGAAAAGTTGCCAAGCACTTGAATTGCAGTCATATGACTGCAGGAGAGGTGCAATTGTGGTAACTTTGAGGATGGGTCTTAAGTCACATACTCTGTGTGTGTGTGTATAAACGAAGTTTTTTTGTTATATTATGCCTTACAATTTAGCCCTAATTTATTAGCTTATATACGCAATTCATGAAATCATAGGAATTCTATGGAATCCATTGGAAGGTAGCTCGGAGGTTTTATAATCAAAGTCTTCCCTCCCAGGGTAGAAATCCTCAGGTAATCCAAGGCAAATGGTTGTCCAACTTTTGCTTGAAAATCTCCACTGAAGGAGTACCAATGGCTCTGGGAAATATACCATTAGTTTTTGTCCTACATTTAAGCATTAGGGACAATAAATCCATAGTTTCCAAACCCAACAGCCTTTCAAGCATTGGAAGACTAGTATCACTGATACCATGTCTCCTATTACCCTTCTCTTATTTAGGCTAAACAAGTCCAAGTTTTTTATCATTTTTATTGTTCTCTTCTGTATTCTTTCCTGGCTCATGCTTAATCTGTGCTCTACTAGATCTTTTTCATATCTTTTTCACAAGTATTATGGCTAAGCCAGGTACTGTCTTATCTTCTACCTGTGCAGAACCTGACAAAGTTTTTGCCTCTGAATAGTATTTACTTGCATAAAGTCCAATTGTTCGAGCATAATGAAACATTTCAAACCTTGAACATGTCTTCAGAGGTGTCTCCTTCTAGCTTTGTGTCATTTGCAAATTTGGTAAGTTTCCCTTCTATCCTTTTCTCTAAGTAATTTATAAAAATACTGAAGAATTCTGGGCCCAAGACAGAATCTTAAGGTATCCCACTATCTATTTGCCTCTATGTAGACAATCTTCTAATGAAAATAGACTTTGGCCCACTCCTGACTACAGTAAGTTTTAATTACACTTTTTAGCACGTAACCAATGATAATAGTCAGTCGGTTATCTAGCTCACCAAAAGGAACAACAGAGTGCATTAGATAAATATTTTGTCTTATGACAGAAGAATGTTTTCCCCTTTCCTGAAAAGCATACTATTTTTCTAGACTGGCAGTCTAACTTCTGCTTCAAAGATCTGTAATTTTTATGAATATCACACTTCATTTACAGTTCTGCAGATTCTTCATATAATATAGAAAAGCAGCTGCTATAGGTGAAAGATTTTTCATGTAGCAAAAAAAGGCATAAAATGCATAGTTATTTATTACTGCTGCCTTTCTATTCCTAAGGAGTGGTACTACCAGAATTTTGCTACCTCAGTTAACATCAACACCTACACTGTTTTCTTTTTGAAACAGGAGCTTCAGGGAGCCAAATAATGTTTAAACCAAGCTTGGTTTTCATAATTACATAACAATCAAGACTGGACAATAGGCTATGATGTTCCATCTGTGCTACGAGGATGAAAACCTTCTCTTCGGAGACTGGTTAAGTCAAAACGTGTTAAAACTTCACAGCGTACCAAGAGAATATCATCTTTTATGTATGTTCTTTGTTTCAGGGCCTGCAACTGCATAAAAGTTACATATCCAAAACCCTTTGGGTTGCGATAGACCATAGGACGTTGGAAGGCTAGCAACTCAGGCTTGGTATCCATTACTTCTTCATGATTGTGCCTTGGAGATCCTTCAGACTGATCCAAAATTGATAGACGTATAGTGCCCTGGAAAGGCCAAGGGAGATGACTGTCATAGTCCCCTTGCATGGTGTGAACAAAAAGAGAAATGTAGTTACCACAACGTTGAACACTTGGTAACTGGATATGCAGACGCAAGCAAAGTTTATATCCTGGTTTCCCTGTGTAGAAACCTGGACTATGGATCACAACGGGTCTTTCTTCCTCCTGAGCTTTCAGGAACGCACTAAAATTTTCAATTTTCCACAAGAAAATACCATTACATTGTTGGGCTTCATTATCAGCAATTTTTTCCTCTAGAGTTCGGATGGTGCGTTTGAGCTCTCCCATCTGGGACTGTTGTGTCTCCATTTTTGCAATGAGTTCTCTAATTTGGTGATCTTGTCTTACTAAACGACCTTCCAGTTGCTGAATAGTCTCCTTGAAGTTCTGAACCTCTGGGCTACACTCACATGAAGGTGGCATGCCTTGAGAGAAGAGTGATGGGTCGAAGGGTACATTTCCAGAAAAATTAATGGAAGTTGGAGTAGTAACACTGACGCTCCGAAGAGTCTGAGCCATCATTCTCATATGAACCTGAGTAAATTCTTGCATGTGGCGTGCCAAATCATTTCTCTGCATCTGCAATTAGACAAAACTGAACATAACTCTTACTTGTTTTTAGTAAAATCAAGGACTGTATCGTAATGGAGAAGGGAAAATGCTGCATTAAAAAAGGAGTAGCTTTATTGCTTACTATTAGCCAAAACAAACAAGGATAAACTGAACAGAACTATTAATATTGTAGGAATTTCAAATGGTTAGAAACAGATCAAGGTCTATATAAATTCTCAGGTGTAAAACTAAATATTTTCAGCTACTTAAATAGCATCAGTATTACTGATCAGTAATGTAATATTTGAACTGTGTCATTTTGTACATAAAATGGTATTTTTAGAACTTTGTTTTTAAAATTTATATTTGACAAGAATGTAACACTTCACATACTAACAATAACTTTCTAACATTAATGGTTGGGCAAATAGATTGGAAAATATGAAGGCTGAAAGGAATATTTTTTTATTTAAGTGCAGGAAGAACATAATCTGTGTAAAATCTTTTCCCTATAAATGTTCATTTTGATAATAAACATTTAAATAAACATTCTTACATGAATATATAAAGATTACAAAACATCAGTTTAAGATGAGAAGCTGAAAAACATTTATGCAATTTAAAAAATCTACTCGAACAAAAATTTCCAATGATTGGAAAGCTCCTCCCCTCTCACATGGATTATATTCCATCCTGCAAATTTTATCTATAATGAATTATTGCAGGAGAAGAAATGAATAATTCAGAACAAAAAACTACCATATTGGTTGGAAAGAAACTAAAAAAACCTTAGCAGACAGCAAAGGAAAATCCCACTAAATGAAAGCAAATTACTTTCACATTAGCAATTACAGAATTTACTCATTCCATGGAAGAATCAAAATAAATTCTGAACTGATTTTCTGGGAAAACAGACTTTCCTATGGTAGAGTCTGGATTGAAAAATGGGCTACATTTTGACTATCATATATACCTAAATAAACAGAGATACTTTTTTTCTCCCCTCCCAGGCCCTACTTTAGCCCCAATACCAGTGTTTTTCCTCATCTGTTGTGAAGGTATGCCTAGTCCTATGCAAGGCAGCTGATTGTTGTGCCATGACTTCTTCCCAAGACTACATGTTCTTCTCCAAGTTGTGCAATGCTTCTCATGATGCTTTTGAGGCCTCCAAAAGCTTGTAAGAAGCCCTTATGCAAGTCTCCAAATCACGCACTGCCTTATCACAGTGCTTCTGAGGCCTTCCAACACATTGAAAAAAGGAGCATGCATGTGGCCTCAGGAAGGCGGCCTGATTAGGGCCTAATTTTTTTTGTCTCAGGGCTGACCAAATAATCATAGTGGGATCAATCTTTATACATTTTACATTAATTACAATATTGTGTGACAAATATTCGTCCAAGATGAACAAACATATATAAGCATATATAAAACTAATTTAAATTACCTTTTCTCTACATCCAAATGCACTATAGGTACATGATACTGGAGCAGTAGGGCAGTCATTATCATAATGATTAGGCAACTATAAAAAGAAAAAGAATGATCTGTAGTTTCCAGAAATCCTACACTGAAAAGTAAATGTGTATCATTTATACCAAAACAGCATTTATTAAATTAATATTACTTTCTAGTGAAAAAAGTTGGAAATTCACAGCAAATTTGACATATTTTGTCTAAATTTTTATACTCAAGTTGAGGATCATTTTCCAGACATCAAATAAAATAACAGATTAAAACACATTGCCATTATTACTGTAAAGATAATTCATCAGTAGCATTATACTCCACTGAAATTACATTATATTCATTGTAATACTTTTAGATGGCATTGTCAAAGGTTTAAATAAATAGTTATGCATTATTCTTTTGGATAACAAGACCCAATTAGCTGAAGTTTTGATAAAACTAACAAGCTTTGCAAACATCATCATAAAATGAATCCTAAGATTAGATTATTATCTATCCTATTTTATGTTGCCTACAATATGAGTGGTACATAAAAAAACTGATTCAATTTCTATTCAATTTAGCTGCCAGAACTGTTATTGGAAAACAAAACTTTCATTGGATCAATGGTATCCCATTGATAAAAAAATAATTCTCCAATTTAAAAAAGTTTGAAAATTCTTCATTTTTTATTATAGATTGCCTATTGCTGGCAATCAGTTTAGACAAATATATTATAATACAAATGTCTTAAAAATTCTGTACCACCAAATTTAACCTTTGGTTTTCCTTCTCAGATTTATTTATAACTATGTTTATAACAAGTAAATATGTGATTTATTTGTAATTAGTATAATACTTATTTTTCTAAAAAAAGGCACCTTCCATTTTAAAGTGTTCCCTGCTTTCAAAATCTCTACTTCTAGTATAACTTATGAATGACAAAAATATTAAACTAAAAATCAAGGTAAAAGTACAAATAAAACATATTATAAACAGAAAAAATAAAGTATCGTATATACTCAAGTATAAGTCGACCCGAATATAAGCCGAGGCACCTAATTTTACCACAAAAACTGGGAAAACTTATTGACTCGAGTATAAGCCTAGGGTGGGAAATGCAATTAATTTGGGAAACGATCTCACTATCATGAAAGTCAGTGTTCTCTGCCCGTGGGGCGTTTGGAAGAAAACGTCCCGCGGCATATCCACACGCGTGTAAGGGGAATCAGAAATCCCCGTGTTCAACGCCTAGCATGGCAGAAGAGAAAACGCAGCTGTGAGCAAATACTGGGAAAACCTGATTGATCAGAAGGAAGGAGGCAAAAGAGGGGTGATGGTGGACGGAGGTCCCACTGGTATTTGTGAAACACTCGGTCGGCAGCGCTTAGTCAACGTCCTCGCTCCCACCCACCCACCCACCCAAAGCCATGAAGTCCCCCAATCGCGCAGCCCAGAATCGCCCTCCCCTCAGGGGGCAGCAACGACGCCCGGCGTTTCCCGAGACAAGAAGCTCCGCCGTGCAATGAAAGCGCCCTGGCTCTAGGCTTGCGGGCTCAGAAAACAACACGAGCTGAGGTGGCTTCGGCTCCGCTTGGCTTCGTTTCCTCAGCCCCAGCTGCTTTCAGTCCGCTCAGGAGGAGGAGGTGGTGGTGGTGGTGGCTCGCATTGTTTTCTGAGCCCACGAGCCTAGAGCCAGGGCGCTTTCATTGCACAGTGGAGCTTCTTGTCTCGGGAAACGCCGGGCGTCGTTGCTGCCCCCTGAGGGGTTAGGGTTACTCCTTTATCGTCTCTCAAGCCCCGCACACTCACAGACTCCCGCTGGCTCGCTTTTCTGTCACGCTCCTTCGCCCCTTTCTCCACCCGACCTTTTCCTTTCCTGAGTGCGCATGCGCCTCCTAAGCCCCTTTGGCTTGAACAATTGCAATAGGAGAGATCGCTCCGAAACGGTTAATTAACATTGCGCTCCACCAGCTGCTTCTGAGTGCTTTGGGCCATTAAGGCGGGCGACGATCAGTTTTTCTCACCTGTTCTCCCCGCCTTAAAGGATGAGGACGTGTGTGGGCTCGCGCATGGAGGCGGTTACTTGAGCTCGGCAGGAATAGCGCACAACCTGTGCAAATGCGCCTCGCTTGGGTCTCTTGTACGGTTAAAATGAGCCTATCGTTCCTCTGACTTTTCCGGAAAAAGTCTCGGGTTCCGTCCGCCCTTTTGCCCCGCTTACTTTCTAAATCGTGTCACAGCGGAAAGGCCCGGGAAATCAATGACGGCCCTCCTCTTTAAAAAGCACTCAGTCACTCAGCTAAAGCAACGAGGGAGCCGTGCTTCTGAGCACGGAGCTGCCAAATGCGCGCCTCTCGCAGGCAAGGGACAGCGCTGAAGGCGACCCGGGTTACGAGAGAGAGAGAGAGAGAGAGAGAGAGAGAGAAAGAGAGAGGCGAAAGGGGCACCCGGTTGCGCCTCCGTGGCCACGCGCCTGAAGGGAGACGGGCTCAATCTTTTTTGGAGAAGGAAATGTGTGTAATATCGAGAGAAAATGGGGGGTGGGGTTAATGTATAGGGAAGGTGTAGCAAGGTCCTTTAAAAAAACCCAACTCAATACCAATACAGTATTCGGCCAAAATTTCGATTTCATGGCCAAGCAACTTTCGTACGGCCAAATTTCCGGCCAAATAAATTTTGCTGGAGACATCATTTTTTTCACGGCCAAGCAGATAGAAATACGGCTAGATTTCTCAAATTTGGCCGGAAAAACGGCCAGATGGCAACCCTGGGGGGAGGTAGGAATTAGGGGGAGAGGGGACACCTTGGAAACCATGCAAGAACTTTTCTGCTTCCAATTACCCCCATGCTTACAAGTTGCAAAGGAAACACGGAAGCAGGGAAGTGGCTACCCAGCTCTGGAGCTCCACACCATTTTTTTTTCAGAGGGGAATCTGTCACTCGAGTATAAGCGGAGGGGGGTTTTTTCAGCACAAAAAATGTGCTGAAAAACTCAGCTTATACTCGAGTATATACGGTACCTATGAAAAATAAATAAGCATCAAAGTTTTTTTTAGTAAAGTCATACTTTTTAGCAAACTAATTTAGTTGATATTTTGAGATAGTCAGAGCAAGATAAGATTTAATGTCTGAAAAGATTAATAATACTATAATATTGGTGGTATAAAATAAATGGTGTACATATACTTTATTGTAAAAATTTAAGAGGCCACAATGACAGCCTTCCTGGGAAAACATTCTGTGAAAGTCAGTCTAAAGGATTCTTTCTATAGACATTATCTGCTTAGTATAAGGTGAAGCTTTTAGATACCCAGGTCCCAAGATATTTGTGCCTATACATACAAATACACATACAGCTTTTGAATCTAATTATAAGACATATCTAAAACCAGGTTGGACAAAACACAAGATAATATTCCTCCCTGGCATTTAACTCTATGTAACAGTTCACACTATCCCATTATCCCTCATAATAATGATGGGCCAAGTATGGAATTTGTTTCCCATGCATAAGCTCTCAGCGTACATATAAACATCAAGTGACAAATCATGATCATAATCATAAAGTACAACTCTCATGCATCATAAGATACAACACTGATACTAAATGAAATAAACATAAACCATAAGATACAAATAAGGTGATAGTCGTATGCTAAAGGAATAGGTAATAGAAAAGATGAGAAGGGTAATAGTAACAGTGCTATTATTATTAATAGTAATAGTGATTGTCAGAGGTATGACTTAGTAATTTGTGCTATTAAGACTTTGAGTAAAATAATAAATAAAAAGCAAAGTATGTCTCTTACCTGTTCTCTGATTAGTACTGTATTACAATATTCACAGAAGACATTTGCCAAAAGGCATATTTCATCATGAACCTTTATTTTAGTGAAAGCAAAAAATAAAAAATAAATTAATTGTAATGGAAAGGGAATAATACATAATTAGGACTATTAGATGTTTTACAACCAGCTTCTCTTCGCAAGTTCATCTGCCTTTTTGCCAGAATAAGAATTTTGAATTAATAGAGGATACCCACTCAGATCAAGTCAGAGGGATTGGGAACATTTTATAAAGCCGTGCTTCATTGTCCTTTTTCTCAACTCATGTATGCAGGCATGTACATTCAAGTTTTGTTTTCCATGGGAGTTATGTTCTTGAAAAATTCCACGGGAATAGAAACTGTGGTTATTGAAGCACTGATGTGAAAACACATGAACTACTATCAGAATAGTGTGGAGACTTATTAGCACAATAAACACCATGAAAACAAAAGGGTGGTTTCCCTTGGTGTAACACATGTCAATGCTGCTAAGGTAAGATTCTCAAACCCTTTTCTCTACTCCATGGTTGTCTACTGCTAATTGAGTCATTTGACAAAAAAAAAAAAAACCACCAAAAACACTTCTATAGAATCTACAAGAGAATATTCAGATGAGGAATGAGTATAGTTTATCTACAATTATGGTATGTATATAGTCGCTTGACTTAGCCATAATGAAGCCTGCCCATTACAATGGTAAGTTGTGATGATCATAAAAGTGGGTCACCCACATGACTTTTTTTACCATTAAGCAAAGCTGGCAGTCGCTAAGTGTGTACACCAGTTGTAAAGCAAACCCAGTGTTCATGATAGTGTTTTTTGTTGAAAACCAAAAACGCCTGTTTTCAGCAAAAACATCATAAAACATAGTAGTCACATGACAAGATGCGGCCAACAGCCCTAAATGCAAGTCTGTTGTTGAGTGCCTGACATGTGGCCATTTGTGACTGTGTCCTGTCAGAACTTCAGAACCAGGTTGCAAGTAGCTCTAGGGAGGTCTGTCATAACTTTGAATGGTCACTAAGCAACTGGTTGTAAATCAAGGGCTACCTTTACAGTTACTTTAAAAGTATAACACAAAATATTTTGTTCAAATCATTTAGGACATGATTCAACAGAAGGAAAAAAAAGCTGTGTAACACTTTCTGCTCTGACACCTATAAATATTGGTCTACATCCAATATTATCAAGACAAAGTTTTAATTGTTCTCCTTTAGGTCAAGATAATGTGCAGGCAGAACTGGAGAAGGAACAATCATTTCCACAGAAAGATGCTATTATCTCTGTGGAATATAAAACTTGATTTTATGGAATATACCATTTTATATGAGACAACAGAAAGCAACTTCAAAATATTATATGCATTATTAAAATAAGCTTATTAAATTAGTATAAATATAAAACAGTTCTATTTTGCATTATACCTTTTTTTCTTCATAAGGCATACACATGGCACAATTTGGACAGGCAATTTGCCGCTGGGGACATTCTAGCATATGTTCTTGCAACTGGTTCTTCTGGAAAATCCCTTGACACTGAGAACATTTTTCTGATGCGAATCCACAATGTAGCTGATGGTCCTGAGGAAAAGCCATTAGAAGAACAGTTACCAAAAACAAAGCAAAACAAAAAACAAAACTCTATTCATTTTTACACAATGTATAGTTTTAGACCATAATATTAGCAGATTAAGAACATCACTGTAACTACAGCTTTAACAACTATACAAGCAACAATAAACATATAGTTTCATATGGTTTTTCTCAAAGATGTAATAGAAATATTGTCACACTTAGTGACTCACAATCTATTTTTTTCATTTAAAAGTAACCTATATTACAAAATCAATAGTAAACTTAAAATACAACAAATATTATGACATCTTGCAGCAGGAAAAGAACTTGTAAGTGAGCAGCTGAAATCCACTTATGAAGTACTCCTGAAGGCATGGCTTTCAGAAGAATCTTAATGTTATTACAGGTGGTTCTTGGTTACCAACTTCTTTGCTGGTTTCTGATCAGCAAAGTCAATGGAGAAGCCAACAGGAAATTGCAAATGGCAACCATGAAGACGTCACCCATAATGGTTTGCTTAACAGCAGCAACTGGGAATGCCAGAGTTGCTGTCACTAAGCAATGCAATTTTGTGACATTGTACTTTAGGACTGTCGCTAAGCAACAGCAATTCCAGCCCAATTAACACTGTAACAGATTACTATCTGTAACTTATTCTAACATAACAGATCTAACTCCAATTTCAAGGAAAGGGTCATATTTATCTTACTTCCTTTTATCCATTTCTTTCAAGAGTTGTTGCTTTGCATATCCTAAGTATCTCTTTATATAAATCCTAAATATACTGATCAGAATAGTATAGAACTGGACCTTAATTCTTAAACAACATACACATTAAAACTTACCTCTAAGTGCCTTAACTCCATCTTTTGACTGCAGCCTTTGTTGGGACATTTCACTATCAGTGAGAGGATTTCACGTTTTGCAAAGTTATCAGGGAAGAGTTGATTTTCTAGTAAGATTTCATTGTCTATTGGACATTTCTGACCTGCGTCTCTGTCAAAAAGAAACAATATATATGCATATGCATCTCTCTCTCTCTGTGTGTGTATTAATACCAAATACTACGCATTTGGCTATAATATGGTTCTTTACATTTCTGCAAGCAATCAGCTTTGGTTCCAAAAATGTCTCACATGAACTGGAAGTCATTTTTATTCCTGATTGATTGCCCTCATCACAGCCAGCCTGCAAATGTCTCCCTCTGACTACAGTATCTTTTATAGCAGATTAATTGAAATACCTTAAGAGCGGTGGGAGTAGAGATTGCAGCTGGGAATGGAATCAAGAAAAAGTAGTATTCCAGATTTTTTTTTCTTTTTGCTTGCATTTAGCCAGGTCCCAAAATATTCATTCATTCATTTATTCATTACCCCCCCCCCCAACCTGTATGGCTAACACAAGATATAGACATATTCATTTCATATATTTACTATACATGACACAGTGTATTTCTTAGACCACATATCTGTTCCATTCCCATATTTTAAAATATTTGAAACATAACATACAAAAAAAGAGATGAATCAGTGGAGAAACAGGAACTTGTGGTTTGAAGCTTGAAAGAGAGTTATGCTCCCGGATATGCTCATATATCTAAGGCCTGAATGATTTAAATCAGAATTTAACATATTGAGCTTCTAGTGCTAAATAGATGGATATATGTATATGAGATTCACATTGCTATACTATTATTTTTAAATAGACTGTAAACAATTAAAATATAACTGAACCAACAAGAGAGACTTTTAATTTTTTAGACATTTGTCTAATAAATTCAGACATAATGAAAATCAAGAACTGTTTGAGCTAGGAAAAAGGAAAACTTACATTTAAAACTCAGTCAGCATTAACAACCTTCATGGGAAGGTTGTTAAAATGATTTTATTTCTTTCAATGAAATAAAAGCTATGGCCCATGATTCTAGTAGTAAAATAATGTGAAAAAGTATTGAGAACTTGAGTTCCTACAACCTCTGTCACACTAATGTAATTTATAATGCAGTATAGGCAATTCTCATAACAGCAATCCAACTTCCAATTAAAAAATAGACATTGTATTGTTAATTTCCATTCATAGTCTACATTAATATTTCAGTATTTATTTAACATAAAACACAAACTATTGGGAAGTTCCCTTGGTTTTTAAGCAAGATAACTTTCATAATAATGGAGACAGAGTACATGGAAGAATGAGACTGACAGATTATATAAATAAGGATTTACTGAAATCATTACACTGCATTTTCTTATCCAAAGTTGCTATTAAGTGCTATGCTTCATTTTTATCCATTAGGCCAACATGATAATCATGTATCATGTGAAAGTCATTTATTCAAAGAAATAAAATGCCATGCCATTTATTTAAGGTTTCAATGACTCAGTTTTAGAATTTCTTCTCTTATGTGGGACAGTCACCAATTGACTGTCAGAACTTAAAAGACAACTATTAAAACCTAAACATAGGTACATATTTTGCATTTAAATAAGATTAACAGAATCTGAGGAATTGGCCACTTGTTTGATATTGATTCTTAGGGGGAAATGGGAAATGAAAGAATACAGTGCTGCTATGATTTTCTGTTATTATGATGCTTGTTTTAGTTTGAGCTGCTGTGGTTTTTTAAATTGTTTTTTGATTCTGTTAGACACTAAGTCTACTGGGGAGCAGCAATAACAAATTTAACTCAATCAATGCCTCAGTAAATTTTTCTGCAATACTGTCTTTTACTCTTTGATATTTATCACAGCTCTCTAAAAGTAGTAACAAAGGACTACTTTATGCCAGCATATCACAGTTCAAAATCAATCAACCCACAAACCAATCCCAACCAACAAACTGCTAGGAGACTGAACCTGGGGCATAACTGATTTCCTTTCAACAAAGCTCTCTGTGTTACCTTAGGGATTTGACAATGCAAGCTTTGCAAAAACGATGTCCACACGGTGTCTGTACTGCTTCCCGTAGAGCCATTAAGCAGATAGGGCATTCATATTTACTTTCCAGTGGTGGGTCAAACTCCACATCATAGCCTTGGGTTTCCTCCATGAAAGAGTTTGAAAGTGTCCCACCAGTACCATTGCTGATGGGAACCGTGAGGCTTTCCTCCTTGGTCCCAGCACAGCAAGCACTGGCCATGGCTGCACAGCAGTCACTCTCTTGATCATTTATTTGAAAACTTGTGTTACTATGTAGTAGACTCATAATAATTTAAAATGTGGCAGGATACCTACAGGCATGAAAAAGAAAAGAATAATTTGTCATACATACATACATATCACATTATTCCCTTTGGGAATATTAGGAAAAGTGTAATTTTATTTTTTTCTATGATTTAATCTTTATTTACCTCTATATGAGCAAACCTCTTCAATGTATTTAGTACCAGTCACTTATTTTGGGCAAAATGGTTACTGATAGAATCATCCCAAATCCATGCAGAACTCAACAAAAGTACTGTCAACGTCTGAGACAGTACACCATTCAAAGTTGTCACAACATGCCATTTAGGAGTTGCCACATACATGCAGGGGGAGGGGGGTGCATGGGGGCACAGATGGGTGTCAGGTGATGGGATTAACACTGCGAGGAGCCAGGAAGGCAAGCCAGCTGCAGTCGGTTCATAAGACATCCAGGCCTGAAGAGTACTTGCTGGAGCCAGCCAGGAAGCAACTGGCTTGAAGAGAATTTGCTCCAAAAAAAGTACTTGCTGGGAGTCAGCCAGGGAGCAACCGGGCTCAGAAGGGCGGGGCGTGCTGGCTAGCAGAAGCCAATAATGCTGGCTAGAAACCCTTTTACTTGTATTATTCACCACGTGCCAAGCTGAGACTCCAGGAAAGAAATCCATTCTGTTCATAGTGTGGCCTCTTCTTTTGCTGGCTTGGTTTGGAACTGTGACGAACACATCCTAATAGTTCAATAATATCCCTTCTCCCATTTGCTTTTACATAGTTTAACTGCTTTCACAGGCACCGTGACTCAAGTTTGATTATATTTCTATCATCCATCCATATCTATCTATCTATCTATCTATCTATCTATCTATCTATCTATCTATCTATCTATCTATCATCTATCCATCCATCCATCCATCCATCCACTATCTATCTATCATCTAAATTGCTATTACCATGTTATTAAAAAAATATCAAAGAAATCCATTATATTTATGTGATTGGATTATGAGAGTAAGTGGAAGTATATAGTGGAAGGTTTGAGCAGTTTCTGTTCAGGTATATTTAATTTGAAGTTTAAGAATGCAATTCTGCCCAATCTGAAGGAGTGTTCAATTTTGCAGAACTCCCCTTTGTTCAGAATTTTTAACAAAGTAGCTACACCTTTCACAAAAGTGTTTTCTATACAGTGGGCATTTTGCCAGTTGAACATTTAAGGCAGAATGTGAACAGCCCAGGGAAAGAACATGCTTAAGCTGTACTTACATTGCCTTAATTCAGGAATTCAAGAATGCCCGGCCAAGTCTTGGTAGAAAGAATTTATCTCTTACAGAATTCAGGGCAACTTTTATAAAGTTCAATGTACACCAATAATCATTCCACTGATGCAACAACGATAGAGTACAGGTAGTCCTTGACTTACAACCACAATTGAGCCTAAATTTTGTGTTGTTACGTGAGACATTTGTTGCAAATTTTGCCTCATTTTACAACCTTTCTTTCCAGAGTTGTTAAGTGAATCAGTGCTGTTTAATTAATAACTTGGTTGTTAAGTGAAACTGGCTTCCCCATTGACTTTGGTTGACAGAAGGTCGCAAAAGGGGATCACACAGCACTGGGACACAGCAATCCTCATAAATATGAGTCAGCTGCTGAGCATCTGAATTTTGATCATGTGACCATGGGGTTGCTACCACGCTTGCGTGAAAAACAGTTATAAATCACTTTTTTGAGTGCTGTTGTAATTTCAAATAGTCAGGATATATTTACACCTTGGAACAATTAGTATGTGAACATCACAGAAAAACTCAAGTGATATCTCTCTCTGCTCTTGCGTACTTTAAAGAACTAATCAAAGGCATTAAAGATAGAACTGTTTTTCAACACCATGAAAAGTAGCTTTACAAAGGTATTAAGTGAAAAACTATATTTTCTTGAAAGATGAATTTAAGATATCGCATTATTTACTAGTATCCCCAAAATTCATAGTCTTTTCAAGGCAGTATGCCGATTGTTATTTTCTATTATAGAAATTCACATCCACACAGGCTTCCAATAATTTGATAAGACTTTTCTGCCTGTCAATGAATAACCACACCGTAGTATTCTGAGTTCCATGTAATAGAGTTAATATTAAACAAATGATAGTCTACAGAAGATATGTCAAAAATAAGTCAGGGGGCAAGATTCTGAAAAATCCCCATCTCTTCTAGAAAATTACTATTGTTAACAAAAAAATAATCTATTTTGAAAAGACAGATGCTTACTTCAGAAAGCCTTCCTTATTAAAAAGATAAAAGATAAATATAATGGAATATTGAAAGTACAGGTTGCAGTACAAGATGGCATTAAAGGAGCAATCCATTCAATCACCAGAGTTTTGCTTTTTTTAACTCTTAATTTTTTAAAAACTGGATTCAAGAGTTCAGGAATGTGGAAAATGCACAATGCTCAAGTTTCAGCCAAAGAACCTCATCCTCCAGGAATGGAATTAATCTGTATTTCTTTCTCTTTTTTCATTCTGTCCTTTTCTTACAAAGCAACCAAAGTCAAAAACCCAATATCTGTTTGTTGAGAAGTATCAGCAGCAGAGGATATCAGAACAACCAGTAAATTAGCAGGGATTGTATGTATGTATGTATGTATGTATGTATGTATGTTTTCTTAAGTTTTCGCGGGTACTTACATGTATGTTATTCAGCTTTGTTCAGACGGACACAATACAGAAGCCTAATGATGGCAGATGAGATTCTGCCAAAACGTTGCTACAACTTTAAAAGCACAACTATAATGACGTGGGAAAATACCCAAACAAAGCTGAATAACATGTATGTATGTATGTAAAAAAAAGTCTTTAATGCTTTTTTTTGGCCAGCCAAAAGCTTCCATTATGAAATTTCTTGCTTTCCAAATAAACCTGGGTTTTTGTGAAAGATGGTAAAGTATCAAATACTTCTGATTGAATATCTATCTATCTATCTATCTATCTATCTATCTATCATCTATCATCTATCTATCTATCTATCTATCTATCTATCTATCTATCTATCTAACATAAATACATAAAATCAGAAATATTATATATACAATGTATGCATGTATGTGCATATACATTAGTAATTATACAAAGCGTTTTAAAAGCCATAGTACACTTTGGGATAAGTAGGTAACTTATAACACTTACTAAAAACCTAACCTATATGCTTTCCTTCTGCCTTTTTACCTTTTTGTGCAAGTTTAGGATATTGGTAGTGGTGTATAATACAAACTATACTAATGGTTTTTAAACTGCAAAGATTTCTTAAACTGCAAAACATAATTCTATAAATTACATGACAGCTTGATTTACTTGTTTATTCCCTTATTGGGGGAATAAGACACAGTGGTAGCATAGTGGATAGAATGCAGTGTTGCAGACTAACTCTGCCCACAGCCAGGAGTTTGATCCTGCTGATTGATCACAGTTTGATCCTGACTGGCTCAAGGCTGACTCAGTCTTCTATCCTTCCAAGGTCAGTAAAATGAGGACGTAGATTGTTGGGGAGAATATGCAGAGACTGTAAATCACTTAGAGAGAGCTGTAAAATCACTGTGAAGTGGTATATAGGTGCTATTGCTATTATAGAGAAGAATGAAAAGATGTTTATGTATTGTGACAATAGTGATGAAGAAAATATGCCTTTGTATTTTATTATATATAAAATTAAATTTCACAAACACTTTATACAACATTTCACACAGGATATTGCATCTTCTTTTTATAACTTACGGATATCAGTGACTTTAAATAACTATCTTTCTTTTGATGCACATTTTATTTTGCCAATTATTTTATGCTTCTTGAAAACCCCAAAAACGTGTTTCAAAAAAAATCAAAGTGCGGGACTTCCGGTTTGCAAGGTTTCGGCAGCGGGAGGGATTCGCGATACTGCGCGATCCCTGCTGCGTTCGCCGCCAAGGTTCCCCCGATCCGTTTGGATCTGGGGGATATAGCTGCCCTGTAGAGGCAGCTGAAGACAGGGGGGATCCGGACAGGGGCTTGGGGGTGTCGCAGACCCCCTCCCCAGCTGGCAGAACCCCCTTTTCCCAAGGCAGAGGAGCGGCGGTCAGCAATGGCCGCCACGAAGAAATCTGCAGCCGGACAAGCAGGTGCAGGAGGGAGAAAGTTGGAAGAATTACGAAAGTTGCTTTCAACCGGGACAAGGCAAGAGAAAGTGCCCTGGAGGCTTGAAGGCTGCTAAGGATACATTGTGTCCAGTGAGAGTTACAAGCTGCGAATATTCTTAAAGGGAAAGTTTTTTTTTTTTTTTTTTCACTCTCCTTCCTAACGTGACAGCGGATGGAAAAAATCTTTTTGGCTGTGAGTGGGAAGGGAGAGGAAAAAAAAATTGGAGCAAAATTTGAAAATAAGGAGAAGATTGCCTAGAATTCTAAAGAGTTACTAAATATCAATAAGACTTCTAAAATATATATTTTAAAGGGAACTTTGTGACTAAACTTTAACCCCAGAAAGAGAAAGTGAAGAAGGAGAAAGTATTTAAAAGGAACAGCTTGTTTGGATTGTGTGGTGATTTTGGAACTTCTGAGAATTATTTCTGACTAAAAGCACTTGGGTGGTTGTTTGGAAAAACTTCTTCTCTACATAATGGCATCACTTGTGGATGGACTGAAACTTGTATATCAAAAATATGAAAAAGAAAAGCAAGAAGGGAAAGATGTCCTTGGCACTCTTTTTCAATTTTTAGAAATGGCGGTTTGTACTTATGTAAAGCTGAATGAGCAACAGGATGAAGGGGACAAAGAAGAAGCCATCTTTGATGAACAAATAACTTTGGTCGGAGAAGGAAAAAAGAAAGAGAAAAAGGAAAAGAAGACTTTAAGATCTGGAAAAACAACCCAAAAAGAGAAGAATAAGGTGAAAAGGGGATATTATGTTAGGAAACAACAGAAAGGGGGAAAGCAGAATAAAAGGGAGATGGAGAGACAAGGGGGTAAAGAGGACAAGGAGAAGAAGAAGCAAGGGAGAAAGGAAGGGATGCGAAGCCTTAATGGTGGGGAGCAAGATGTAAAGAAGCAAAAGTTTTTTAGAGATAATGGATAAATTTTTATTGAAAAAGGGATTCTAGAAAGGTACATAAGATTGCATTTCTATATTTGTATTTAGAAATAATTATAGAAAATTGGAAATAATATGTAATTTAAAATGTGATAAAATATTTAGTATAATCTAGTGAAATTTTTGTTAAGAAAAGGGGAGTACTGTAATGAAACAATGATTTAAGATATGTGATGGGGGGGGGGGGTAATAATTTTTGGAAAGCATAAGTGTTCCCACAAAGGCATGATATTTAATTGAAATGGGTAAAATGTTTAAGATATAAATGATTGTTAATATTAATGATTAGACTATGTTATCCCAGTGAAACTTTTTGAGAAATGAGAGATTTGAAGTAGAAGAAGGGGGAACATCGTAATGAAATAATGATCTATAATATGTGATGTGGGGGGGGGGGGGGATAACTATGGAAAATAGGTGCTCCCATAAAAGTATGTGATTTAACTGAAAAGTAATGTGCTAAATATTTAAGATATGAATATCAATATCAATGAATAGATTTGTATTGGTTTTGATAATACTGTATAATTTTAGAATGTACCAGACAGAATCCGAATGTAAGTTATGTGTTCTATATTAAGTATTATAAATATAGGGGAAAGAGATAAAGGCATCATACTCCATTTAGTGTACAGAAGTTTGTTTTTTTTTTTTTTTTTAAAGAAGAAAGATAAATGGATAGCTGGAAATAGAACAGACAAAGAATAATAAATATTATGATTCGAATTGAGAGGAGATAAATAAAATAAAATTGAGAAAATTTAAAAGAGAGGAGAAGTTATATAGAAAATTGAAAATGCTAATAAGATATGGAATGGTATGTAAAATGAATATGAATTTGAATTTGTGTCTGTACCAAGAGTTTTAACCCGGGACTAAGCAACTTTCAGAAAAGAGATTTTTTATGCTTTTATGTTTTGTGTGTTTGTGTATTTATGTTTTGTATGTCTTTAAAAATTAATAAAATTTGTTCAAAAAAAAAAAAAAAAATCAAAGTGCCTGTTCCAAAGGTGCTAAGAGAAAGTAGCTGTATTTCTGTTTTTTGAAATATTAGTTAACTATAACTATTAACTATTAGTTAACAGTTATTTTTAATAACTATGCTTTTACTTCTTTATGATGCAAAATGTTGAAAAAGACGATATACAACTTTATGCTCTTTAAAAACATGGAAGTTTGAACTGGTTGCTTAGTGGGAACAAAGGCTATAAAAAAACTATTTCCCCATGTGTATTTAGTTCTTCTCCACAGAATAAATTATTTCCCACTACAAAAGTATAATGGCTGTTTTAGGGGTTATTAATGCACACTATATCCAAAGACAAGCAATGGAAGTAAAACAGTTTTAAAATCCTTATTTTAAAAAATTGGGATGTTGTGAAATTATTTGCATTGCTAGCTTCAAAGAAGCTACAGGAATCTACAGGAACCAGACCAGAATAGCAACATATCTCAACTGATGAAGAATTCTTTAAATATAGACTATTTTGAAAATATAAATTTCCTTATTTCTGTATATCACTTAGAAAACAGTAACAGAAAGTTATTATGCACACTGCCTATAGAATTATACAGTCAGTCTATTCTATCTCCTGCCTTTACCAATTTAAGCCTTCACATAATGCAACTGAAAATGAAAAATATTTTGAAGGTGTCCATACCTTGAAAATACATACATATAAATATATACATACAGACCCCACTTAATGACTGTCTTGTTTAGCAATAGTTTTAAATTTTCAGTGCTGAAAAATTCATGATCCATCCTTGCATTTACCACCATTGTAGTGTCCCCATAGTCAGATGATCACCATTTGTGTACTTCTCCACTGGTTCCCAAGAAGCAGTGTATGGAGAAGTTGGCAGGAAAACTGCAACTTGCAGTCATGTGATGTCTCACTTAAAGCGCATGGGTGATTTGCTTAATGTTCTCAGCGGAACTGAGGATGTAAGGACATCATGGTCTTGTGGTGTTTTGCTTAGCAGTGGGAATTCTTGATTCAATTGCGGTCGCTAAGCTATATGTAAAATAAGCAAAAAAATCTAGAAAACTTAGCATTAAAGTATATTATTTTCATGCAACATCTTAATATAACAATATTGCTAATTTTGAAGTACATATTGCTTCACAACAGCAACAGTTTTCTAGTTGAGTTTATGAAAAATAAACATTTGGTCTACAAATGCTTTCAGTTATGCAGCTGCATGCAACTATTTTTGTTCATGGAAGCTACCAAAATAGGGTATTTTAGTTTTACTTTTACTAAAGGAAAGTTTGCTTTTCTTACAAATTCTACGTAGTTTTTTCTATGAAAATTGAAATATCACATTCTTGCACCTACTTTATTTTCTCTTTAGGAATGATAATCTTCTCATAAAATATAACTTCTGAGCTTCATTTACCTGGTCACTGAATGCTTTTTCCTCTTTTTACCCACAGTTTTTGTTTATTAGGACTAAATCAAAATTTAAGTTTTCATATATTTATTAATTTGATTTATAAAATTTGTTTATTTTATACAATTTAAGGAAATATAAAATACTGTCCTAGAAGTCCTTCTTTGTACTTACCATAAAAGGTGCTGAACTAGAAACTGGTATATGAAAGCCAGCTGGATCGTTTAAGGCCAGACATTTTCTCTCTCAACCTAGCCTATTTTCACAGGATGGTTGTTGTAGGAAAAGCAAGAGAAGCAAGCATTTATGCATACTGTCTTGAGTTATATTAAATGAACCCAAGTTATAAAGCAAATTAATAAACATATGAAAACTGAAATTGTAATTTTTCAGATGTTTATATTTTCCTTCCTTTTTTTCAAACAGTGTTTTGAGATATGCTTCTGATCATAAATGAAGGCCATGAAAACAATTATGTGAAAGGAAATTGCTGCAATGGTGCTTAATACATTGCTCAAAAAAATAAACACAAAAATAAGACATCCTAGATCTGAATGAATGAAATATTCTTATTAAATACTTTGTTCATTACATAGTTGAATGTGCTGACAACAAAATCACACAAAAATTATCAATGGAAATCAAATTTAGCAACCCATGGAGGTCTGGATTTGGAGTTACACTCAAAATTAAAGTGGAAAAAAACACTACAGGCTGATCCAACTTTGATGTAATGTCCTTAAAACAAGTCAAAATGAGGCTCAGTAGTGTGTGTGGCCTCCACGTGCCTGTATGAGCTCCCTAAAATGCCTGGGCATGCTCCTGATGAGGTGGCGGATGGTCTCCTGAGGGATCTCCTCCCACACCTGGACTAAAGCATCCCCCAACTCCTGGACAGTCTGTGGTGCAATGTGGCGTTGGTGGATAGAGCGAGACATGATGTCCCAGATGTGCTCAACTGGATTCAGGTCTGGGGAACGGGCGGGCCAATCGATAGCATCAATGCCTTCGTCTTGCAGGAACTGCTGACATACTCCAGCCACATGAGGTTTAGCATTGTCTTGCATTAGGAGGAACCCAGGGCCAACCGCACCAGCGGTCTCACAAGGGTTCTGAGGATCTCATCTCAGTACCTAATGGCAGTTAGGCTACCTCTGGTGAGCACATGGAGGGCTGTGCGGCCCCCTAAAGAAATGCCACCCCACACCATTACTGACCCACTGCCAAACCAGTCATGCTGGAGGATGTTGCAGGCAGTAGAACGTTCTCCACGGCGTCTCCAGACCCTGTCATGTCTGTCACATATGGTCAGTGTGAACCTGCTTTCATCTGTGAAGAGCACAGGGCGCCAGTGGCGAATTTGTCAATCTTGGTGTTCTCTGGCAAATGCCAAACGTCTTGCACGGTATTGGGCTCTAAGCACAACCCCCACCTGTGGATGTCGGGCCCTCATACCACCCTCATGGAGTCTGTTTCTGACTGTTTGAGCAGCCACATGCACATTTGTGGCCCGCTGGAGGTCATTTTGCAGGGCTCTGGCAGTGCTCCTCCTGTCCCTCCTTGCACAAAGGCGGAGGTAGCGGTCCTGATGCTGGGTTGTTGCCCTCCTATGGCCTCTTCCACGTCTCCTGATGTACTGGCCTGTCTCCTGGTAGCGCCTTCATGCTCTGGACACTACACTGACAGACACAGCAAACAGCTCGCATTGATGTGCCATCCTGGATGAGCTGCACTACCTGAGCCACTTGTGTGGGTTGTAGACTCCGTCTCATGCTACCACTAGAGTGAAAGCACCGCCAGCATTCAAAAGTGACCAAACCATCAGCCAGAAAGCATAGGAACTGAGAAGTGGTCTGTGGTCACCACCTGCAGAACCACTCCTTTATTGGGGATGTCTTGCTAACTGCCTATGCTTTCCACCTGTTGTCTATTCCATTTGCACAACAACATGTGAACTTGATTGTCAATCAGTGTTACTACCTAAGTGGACCGTTTGATTTCACAGAAGTGTGACTGACTTGGAGTTACATTGTGTTGTTTAAGTGTTCCCTTTATTTTTTTGAACAGTGTATATACTGATATACTAACTTGTATCTAAATTTCATCTTTGCTGTTTAACTTAACAACCTAATTACACATGTTACTGGTGAGAATATATACTCAGAGACACTTTATTTCTAATAATCTAATAAACATTAATGACTGACTTTGGGAAAACTTTAAAACTACATGGCAACCTGGATTTGAAGAAAAAAACACACAGTTAAATTACATTTATCAGCAACTGTTTCAAAAAGTTGTATCTTTTCATAATTGTTGTGCCATCCAAGAAAAAGTCAAATTTACTTTAACAAGGCACCAATAGTTATTATAAACATGTCTGAAAGCTCCATATTGGGTTTCCCCATTAAATCCAGATTGCTGCATAGCCTTTTCTCTACCTTTGTATACCAGAGATGAACAGGATAAATGTATTTTGAATGGCATGAGTGAAATGTAATGAAAAATCTTTCTCCTATCATGCCAACCACTTTTGTCATCTCAGACATTCGCCTGAAGATTGCTTCTAGAGCAATGTTTTCTATTTGTAGTTTATCCAAGTCTGAATTTTGTTGGCTTCATTACTGCTATACTATGTATACTACAGACATGCTAATAGATTCTCAAACTTATTAAAATCTATAATACTTCAACTCTTTCAATTCAAAAATACTGAATAAATAGTGTATGGAATTAGATTACATGATCCTCAGTGTACACAATACTGGAAAGTCATTTAACCCAGTTTCAGTTTCCATTTAGAATCATTGCCAATTAAGGAAAGCCCATTTGTGTTTGAAAGGAAAACAGGATTGTATAAGTTCCAGTTTCTATTTCTGATAACAAACACAGAGCAGTTTTAAGAATTCACATCTTGATCCATTAGCTTTATATTAATGTGCTTATGATATCAATATGATTTTGGGATATGCTTTGCTTTATTTTCAACACTGAAACATATTCCTCTGCTAATCCAAACTGTGGAAAAAGGACGAAGTATGCTCATTGTCACATTTAAGCATGAGCAATGCACGGAACATATCTGTCATCATTGCAGTAGTGGATACTAGAAGTCCAAAAAAGCTGCTTTTGCAAACTAGTTTAAGTACTTGAGGAATGATTCAAAAAGGGTATAAAGGTCGTAAATAGTGTGAGGGAAAAACACTTTTTCTTCTAAGCCACTAAATAATAAGAGAATATTCAGTTTTAAGGCCTGCTCAGAAGCTACGTTTCATTATACTATATTAACTACATTAATCAAGGAGATAGATTTAAAATCACATGCTAATTCTAATCACAGTAGTGGGAAAGCCTCTATTTAAATCTTACCTAAAGAGGTGACCTTTAATAGGTAAAGGTTCCTCTCGCAAATATATGCTAGTCATTCCCAACTGTAGGGGGCAGTGCTCATCTCCGTTTCTAAGCTGAAGAGCCAGCTGCTGGCATGATTAAACGCATGGAATGCTGTTACCTTCCCACAGAGGTCCCTATTTTTTCTACTTGCATTTTTACATGCTTTTGAACTGCTAGGTTGGCAGAAGCTGGGACAAGTAATAGGAACTTACTCTGTTACATGGTCCTAGGGATTTGAACCACCAAACTGTTGCCCTTTCTGATCGACAATCACGTCCCTTGACCTTTGATAGCCATACTTTATTTCAATATATTGATTAGAAAACAACAAACAACAAACTTTTATCTTAATATATGGTGTGTCAAATAGAACTAAACATCCTGCTTCATTCCATCCAATCTGTGGTGCAGGCCATCTTCTATTCATTTCATTGTAATTTACTGGATTGTTGTAAACTGTCCACAGCTGCTTGGAATTGGGCAGCATAAAATTTAATAAATTATTATTAAAACATGGGGTCAATAAATGTGAAGGCTATAATGTTCAGTGTTGACAGATACAGTAAGGTATATGGATTACTTTAATGTAACAGAGAGGTGCTATTTTTATGAGTCCTGAAATACTTCTTCCAAGTTCTATGAATTCAAAATATGCAGGTTTCTATCATATATATTCTTCAGCTTTTGCAAGTACTGACAAAGCATATTTTGATTGTGATTATATGACACAAAAGCCAGGCTTCTAACCCATTGTCTTCAAAATATGTGCTGTTCAGAGTTAAATTATATTTATCAGCAACTCTTTCAAAAAGCTTTATCTTTTGCTTGAGGGAGACACCCTTCTGACCTCAATTTCAAGGGGGATTTTACTGTTGGTTTTGTCTTAGTGTGCCAGGACCTCATTTACAGGATGACTTCATTTTGGGGGGAAGATAATCTTGTGTTCTAATCAAGTACCTTGTATGTTCATGTTAGCTTTTACATCACTGGCTTACAAAATATTATTCTGATGGATTAACAGATGATTTCCTATTTATGATGCTTTAATTATGATGCTATGTTTTATGTTGTATGACAATTATTATGAGATTTTAAACTATTAGGAACTATCTATTTCACTATGATATATAATTATTATTTAGAAATAAAATGGCAATACTAGGCTGGTCCCACCGTGCCTGAAACATCCAGCAAGGGCATTCAATATCTAGTGACTTTTAACTGGCAAGATCAGGCAGCAGTGATAATATCATCATATAATTACAAACAAAACCAGTTTGTAAAGTTTTCTCTAAGTAATTTAATTAAAATTTCTCCAGTAGCAAAATCAACACTTTGCCATCACATTACTTAGATATTCTCACCTAATCTACAATGGTTAAACCTAAGAAAGCAGACAAAGTGAAAATTAGATGTGCTATTTCAGAATTAAAATGTTAAGGAATTCTGTTCTGAATACTTAAGAAAATGACATAAGCAAAAGTGCCCAACCACAGCGGTACAGGAAACTGAATACACCTCTTAAAACTTTGAGAACTAAAAATGAGTAATAATGTGTTTAATTAATAAGGCTTGTATCCTGGCTTCCTTTATTTCAGACCAGATCTTGATTTTGAATAGTTCTTACTACAGTTAAATGGGATAGTAAGCAGATATGATCTCAGAAATGATCTAGGTCGCCACATAAATGAAAGCATTCCTGCCTTACTTTTTCTGCCAAGGTTGTATTTTTGCTTTGATGAAGAAAGTAGCTTATTTTTTTTACAACTCCTACCCAAAAATATACAAGAGACAAGAGAGAGAAAAATATAGACAGCCAGAGGAGAGGCAAATGAAGGAACTGACAACACCCTCAAAGAAAGGGACAATAGGAAAGAAGTGCACCCTTCTTAGTTCTCTAAAACACACATGTTCTATTTATTGATAAAAAAAATGAAGTATTAGAGTGGTAGTGTGTGTGTGTGTGTGTGTGTGTGTGTGTGTGTTCTACTCACGCTCCCCAAACCCTTCACAATTTTATGTGACTCCTGGAGAAATTGTATTTGTCACCTCCCTATATATTTGTATGGTTCCATACAAAACTAACAATTCCAGTGTGTAAAGCACACACAGATCAAAATAGGGCCCCTCCCTAGCAGACTCCAAACTAAGTTGGAGGGAATAAAAACACCAATTTCTAACTCTAATCAATTTTGCACTGTACAGGTAGTCCTCAACTTACAACAGTTCATTTAGCGACCTTTCAAAGTTACAACTGGCACTGACTTATGACCTTTTTTTCACACTTATGACCGTCGCAGCATCTCCATGGTCACGCGATCAAAATTCAGACGCTTGGCAACTGGTTCATATTTATGACGGTTGCCCTGCCCCAGGGTCATGTGTGTGATCTGCTTTTGTGACCTTCTGATGAGCAAAAGTGCCAGGGGAAGCGCGAACAACTTCGCTGTGTGTGGCAAGAAAGGTGGCAAAATGGGGCAATATTCACTTCACTGTCTCACTTAACGACAGAAACTTTGGGCCCAATTGTGGTCGTAAGTCCAGAACTACTTTGTAATTCCCCACCATAGAAGCGAGCAGCGAGGAAAGCTGTTAGGTGGAGTCAGCTTGTTACAGGCGGACATTTAGCACCCGACACCGAAGCCTGGGTAGGCAGCGGCAGACACGACAAGCTCTCCCACTGAACCCACTCGGGGTCCTACGAACCACTCCGGACAGTCTTGGAGCCGGAGCCCGGGGCGCGGAGCTAGGAAAGGGGATCAGCAACGAGGCCTGAGCTCCAGAAGAGAGGAAGGACGTCGGCGGAGAGACAAGAAGCCCCACCAGTTTTGCACTTTTTACAACTTTTTTATTTATTTATTTTATACGCGCTCTAGGGCGGGCACCAAGCGGGCGGGTCTTCCCCGTCAGGGTCGTCATTGCCCCCCACCCCACCCCACCCCTCGGAACCGAAGGAAAAAGAGAGAAGGGAGAACAGGGCGCCGCGCTTACCTCAGCTTCTCTCCTCTCCGAGACTTTTCCTCGGCCACTTCTGCGCCAGGGCCTCAACAGAAGCCGACTGACGACGGGAAGGAGAGGGAGGCGGCGAAGGAAGCAGCGCGAACGGACAGACGCTTCCGCCTCCGCCAAGCCTGACAGGGCCGAGCTGCAGAGGGCGAAGCCGCACCACAGCGCCCCTCGGCAGGCAGCCAGGGAGTCTTCCCACGCCCGGTTGGGCGAGCCCTTTTGCCACGCGTGGGCGGTCGAAAAGAAAAACAAAAACTGATCGCCCGCTTATCGAACTTGCCCATGCGGCCGGGGAAAATTGCCCTTTTGGTTTGCTCGCTTGCGGTCTACGTTTGGAAGCCTTGCCCGGCTTCCCTTCCTGGCCGAGGAGCCGCTCTCTTTGCTGTGAAGTGGGGTGGGGGTGGGTGGGTGCGGGGTTGCTGCATCGATCCACAAGGGCCGGGTCCGGTGCTCCCTGGGTCGATGACGGAATCGCGTGTATCGTTTCCAGAGGCGTAGCTCGATATGTTTAAAAATCTGAAACTTACACCTGGGCTTAAATAGTCTTCCATGGAGGAAAGGAATGGGTGGGTTACACAATTGTGAGTGCCCACTCCTTCCCTTTTTGCACCGTCTTATACATTTCAATATGTACGTAGCCCTGATAATTCTGTTTAAGGCGTGTTTGCAAACCTAAGTGAAGGCAAGGAATGCAACTGATTGGGATTTGTAAAATAAAATTGCCACTATGAAGAAAGATACTTCCGCCTTTTGTACTATCGTTCTATGCATGCATGTTTTAGTATTTTTTCCAGATACTTATAATCCATCCGTTTTCAAACAAATATAAAACTGTAAAATAAAATAAACATGAACACATCTTAGTACAGTTTTACTTTCAAAATTGAGTGGCTCATTGCATTATTAATTTTCTTTTGGACACTTGCATTTTTAATTGTTTTTGCTCAACTACTCTTCCAAGATTTTCTGACAATGGAAACAAGCAATGGAACAGCTTGCCTTCAGAAGTTGGGGCTTCATCACTGGAAGCTTTCAAGAAGAGACTGGACTGCCATCTGTTGAAAATGGTGTAAGGTCTCCTGCTTGGGTGGGGGTTGGACTAGATCAGTGATCGCCAACCAGTGGGCCAGGGAACACTGGTAGTCCGTGAGAAAATTTTGGTGGTCCGCAGAGAAATGTCACCCCCAAAGCAATTCAGGTTGTGAGGGAA